TTCCTGAAGAATTCAACAAGTTTTATAATGAGCTGTACTCCTGGTCAACTAATAAATGTAAGAATCTTTCTGATAGTGACTTTGAGGAGGAACTAGATTAATATGCTGAGACTTACTGATAGCTATTTTAGTTATTAAATCATATATATATATATATATATTTATATATTTATATATATATATATATATATATATATATATATATATATATATATATATATATATATATATATATATATATATATATATATATATATATATATATTAGTGATGTACCGATTGCACATTTTTGGCTGATACCAATACCGATGCCGATGGATAGGAAAAGGCCGATACCGATAAATTAACTAGCTATTATAATTTTGAAGAAAATAATAATAGCTATTTATAAAACCATACAACTTTAAATCGTGTAAAATTTTTCATGGAATCAAAACTGGTAAGCAAATACTTGGACCCAAATCAGAGTCAAACCTTTATTTTAAAAAATATTAGAAAAGCTCAATTAAATAAATATACATTTTTTACTTTCTTTTAACTATGAAAAGAAAACTTTCAAAAAATAACTACAATTTTAGAGGAACACTTTTTATTTCAATTTAAAAAAAAAAATGGTATTAAGATAAGCAGTTTACTTAAAATATTAGGCTCTTTATAAAAAACAAATAAAAATAACATTTATAACATGAAATATATACATTTTCTCAAAATAAAATAAGAGACTTCAAAATCAAATACAAATGAAAATAATAGCTTTAAGATTCTAAAGGAAGCACCAATAGCAGTTGTAACAATATTTAGTATTTAAAATTGTGTATACCAATATTGTAATGTAAAAACATAAGCATTTCTCCTGTTTCCGGAGCCAACCTACTTCGTCGTGGAGAAAAAATTTGTCCTCCACAACTAAATAATCGTTCACTTTCAACAGAAGATGGAGGGCATGATAAATACTTCTGAGCTATTGGAGCTAATTGTTTGAAGTTATTTCTATTTGCTCCCCACCATACTATAGGACTATCTTGTTGCATGATTATGTCTTGACTCAAATACATTAAAACTTCATTTTTCAATTTTATATAATGTTTGCTTTCTGTTTCTTGCAGAACTTCAGATATGGATGTGTTTTCAATTAAAGTGTTTTTATTTTTAATAAAATTTTCAAAGCATTTTGAAAAATCAAAATCTAGATTTGTTGTACTTGATGAAGAACTGACCTCAGGTTGAAATTCAATATGATCATTTTGTTGAAAACTTTTTGAGCAATCTACAAACCATTTAATAATATTTTCAAGATAACTGTCAGCTTCTTCGGTTGGAAAAAAATTATTTTAATACCTTGGATCTAAAAATGTGGCTAAAATGAGATTTTTGTCATTAAGATATTTTTCAAATCTTTCATTTGCTGAGTTTTTACATTCTTTTAAAATTGTTCCTAATCCAAAAAACAAGGGAGACTTTTCAGCTTGAATTAACATGGTTTGTATAACTTGTACAGTTGGAATTATAGCAGATGCAATTGCTTCGCACTCACTTAATAAATTCGTTATATCATTAAACATTTTTAAAAATTGTTGTAATTTTTCTAAAATAATCTATTCATTGTTTTCCAAGGACTTTAGTTTAGAGTTATCATTATCACAACAAAATGGGATTAAAGCACGCTTCTGTTCAAAAATTCTTTCAAACATAAAGTATTGACTATTCCATCTTGTTGCAATGTCTTGTTTAAACCTATTTTGTGGCACTTGATATTGAGTTTGATATTTTCGATACGCTTCAAAAGAAGATGGAGAATGATTAAAATGGGTTACTATGTTTTTACAAGTTGTTGATATATTTTTGATATATATCTGGGCAAATACAGTGTCATTCAACACAAGTTGCAAAATGTGTAAAAAACACGGCAAGCTATTGTAACCTGCCTCTCTTATTCCAGCTGCCATGTTAGCTGCATTATCTCTAGCAACTAAATGTACCTTTGAAGCTGGAATAAAAAAATCATTCATAGAACTTTGAATTGCTTCGCATATATTTTTGGCAGTATGAGATACATTAAATTGACAAACTCGAAGAACTGCTGACTTTTGATGAAATTCATTAGTTAACCAATGAGCTGTCAAGCTAAGAAATGAGCATTTTCCGTTGGTAGATGCCCATCCATCAGTTGTAAATGAAATGTAAGAAGCATCATTTATTTCTTTTTGGATATTTTGTCTGACTTTGTCATATATATTTTGAAAAACAGTGTTTTTAATGTACTTTCTACTTGGTATACAATAGTTAGGACATATATGATTTAGCAATCTTTGAAATTCGATGTCTTCTACTATTGAAAAAGGTTGAATATCAACTGCAATCATTTCTGCAATATAGTTATTAATTAATTTAGATCTGTGATCATTAATGTCCCAGGGTTTTTTTCTCGCAAGTGTTTCAAACAAAGTTTGTTGGGACTGTTTTGAGCAACTTGCTTCAGTTGACTTGATTTTCTTGAACA